GCTCATGGTGACACTGGCACAGTCTGTGCCTGATAACATCTGTTATACACTTGTACTGTGGACACACACAGTGCCCCAGTGTGTGGGTTGAGAAGGTGTCATCGGGTAGTTGAGTATCTTGCAGCTCACAGTCCCCTAAAGGGTTGGCCGTGTTTCCCCTCCTCACCCCAAGCCAGCAGCTCCAACCACTTTCATTGTTCCATGTGGACCCTCTGTCCACTTGCTGAGATGAACCAGCTCAGTAGGCAGGCAGCCAACAGAGCTTCCCACTGCCCCGATGAGTTCATTCAGCACTCCAGGAGGTGAGCCAAGAGCCAAACCTGGCACAAGGAAGGAGATGGGAACACAGTGCTGCAGGCAGAGGATGGGAAGATCAAGGATGGGTTTCTCCAGAGCAGCAAGCTATTCTGCTGTCTGAGAGGAGACAAGAAACCTCACCCTCTGTTGCAATAAAACCTCTTTAACAAAATGGGAGTTATCAGACGATCGATCAGAAATTTCAGGGGGAGCTGGTTACAGTAAACCTCAGGAAAAAAGTTGGGTTAATTGCCAGGCCCCACCTTGTTCACACAGCCTGTATGCATTTACATAGGCAGATTTGGGATTTCTGTTAGTTTCCTTCATGTTTCTGGAGCTGCATGCAAGCCAGCTGTCTCAGCAACCAGCAGGATTATGTTTAAAAAACCAGAAACCAGAGATCTGAATTTCTCACGTTATGTCTTGACTCTTACACTTGAAGCTTTACAAAGAAGGCTAAATATCATCAGACTACTGATAAAAGTCAGGAGAGTTGGCAGTTTTGCAGACATTTACAGGCTTGGCAACGCATTTTTCTGTTTTTAAGTGAAAACAGACAAAACAGTGCACATGGTAGAATAACGAACATCTTGGCACATTGCAATTACAATACTGGAACAGACCACTATTCAGTTTTAATAGATGCTTTTGAGAAAAACAATCCCCTGTGTTCAGCTCCCTGTTACATTTATTCTCCAGAACTCTAGTGCCAAAAGCTTCCCCATCTTCTCTGTGGGCTTTCCAAACAGAGTTCACCTCCTGTGAAGCACCACAAAAATACAGCTGCTGTCAAGCAGCTCCTCTCCTTGCTAAGATGGGTTAGAGTCACATCATAGAGAAATGGCAGCATGCAGTGCCACAATTACATTCAAACCAGAAAAGGATTTTTTTTTTGGAATACAACTTCACTGACTTTCTAGTCTTTTGCTTCTGTATAGAAACTCCATGAAGTATTCTATGGATAATCTAGCACTGAACTACAGCCTGGAATTCTATAGCACAGTACCATATCTAGAAATCTTCCAGTATATATTCCAGCAATAGTACTAAATTTGCAGATATAAATACTATAATGTGAGTTAATATTTAATTGTAAGTTAATTTTTGCTATGAAAAAAAGTAATTATACAAAAAAGGAAATCATGATAAAATTTTGAGTGTAAAGGTCAACTATTACAAAAAAAAAAAAAGTTTCAGTGTAACCAAACCACCGGTGGTGGTTATGACTGGGAGGGTTCAGAGCTCCAGGATTAATAGAGCACACACAGTAGCAAAGCCTTACCAAACTTTTCAGCAGATTCTGAAAGTGGGAACTAAAGTTCTGGGAAAATCACTGACACTAAATCTGCTGTGTGCATAAACCACAACTTGAAACAAGCATTAGATTCCTCAGAAAATAAAATTCTTAAGACACATCAAATTAAAATGGAATTACTCTCACCAGTTAACAACTTCTGAGTATGAACAAGCAATGCTAAACAAAGATCTTGCAGGGGCCCTCAAAAGCATTCTACTGACATAACTGAAATGTGCTAAAATAATTCAGCTGAAAAGAGTCTGGTTTGGCTATTAATTTATTAATTACTGTGCTGTATTCTGAGGTGACACTGCTTAGAGCCTTGAGCCTTTCCACTTTACAGCGTCCTCTCCAAGCACATGACAGCGTTGAACTTGCCCCTCTTGGTAAGAATAACAATGGATTTACTGCTCTCTGGTCTTATGGAAATGATGAATTAACATCGGAGCAAGGAAAGTGAAAGACAAAAAAATCCAAGGGGGGCAGGAGAGAATATCACACTGCTGATCCAGCTGGAAAGGCAGAGTGGTGACTTAAGGCTTGTTAAAGGGAGAAGCAGGGTGACTTGCTGCCACTGCTAGGGCACAGCACAGGGGACTGTACCCCCTCCCACTCCCTTCGACTGCTGCTTCCTACACTGTGACTGCTCAGGGACTAGGTCTGCAGGTAACTGCAGAGCAGGGACAGCCACAACTCAATGGATTGTTCACTTTTTACATACAGCCCCCCACTTCACCTGTAGCCCACTTCAGGCAGCTCTGCCAGCGATGGAGATTGTAGTATGAGGGAGATGACTGCGTCTTATGGGTGCCACAAAGCTCTCTTGAGAGCTGTGTTATTCAGCGCCTTCTGATTTAATATCCTCAAAACCTCCAAAGATGGCAGTTAAAATTTAAACAGGCATTCTGAAAAGACGCTCTTGATCCCATTATCAGTGTTGTGGATGGGATTACAATGGGGGTGGTAATGGTGGAAATGTTTTAGGAGAGATCTAGTATCAACAGCAGGAGTGGCCACTAATTGGATTCTTTCTATGTCACCGCAGAGTTGTCACGGGACCTTCGTTCTCTGTTGAACACTGCAGCTCTCAAGGCGCTCAGAAAGGAGCTTTCTCAATTGTTATCACATCAGTCTGCCTTCCCACTCAAACACAAATCCCCCAAAGCTCTTTCTAAAGCTAAGGAAATCATGGAACCCATGACTCCCATGACATCTGCAACAAGTGTCCTGCCTCATCAGTGTGAGAATGGGCCCTGACATTACACAAGGCTCAAACTCCTGATCCTACATGAACCATATATATATTTATGTGTGTGTATATATATATATATATATATATGTTATCAAGTGCAGGATATAAATTAAACAAAGCTATATTAAAAAAAACTGTAAACTGTCAAAATAATCTGCAATAAAGTGTTTATAGCCAGAACAGAATTTGCAAATGTTTTAATATTTTTTTTTCCTTAGCTGTCTAACATCCACTGAGTGTGAGTTTTATAATGGCTTGCACTGTCCCCAGCATCACAACGTTTTAAATAAACTGTTTTTATCAGTTCCTGACTGGAATACGAGCAGTTACAATAATTTTCACACTGTTACTTGCAATCTCTAGGATATTTCTGGATTTCTACATGCAATTTTTTTCCTAACAATGTCTAATTTAGCCTACTTTTTGAAGGTGCATTTACATGCCATTTGGACATTCACCAAGGTTTTTTTTTTCAATGCAAATTACACCAATCATAATTATTTTTTTTCCTCTGAAACAGAGACAAAAATCAATGAAAGGCCAAGGAGACATGCCAAGAAGCAGAAACTGAAGTTGCATATTGTGATGCAATGAGCTCACCCACCTCAATTATAAAGTGCTAAGAAGAGGAAGCCCCTGACAAGCAATAAACTGACACATAATTAAGACAATTCAGGGCAGAACATATTCTGGCTGGAAAACATTTTCTTGTGCTCTACCTAACTGCTCAGAGCAGTGAGAGAAAAAAAAGCAGGGTGACACTTTGAAAACTCTATGAAAATAAGTATCCCACCTAATTTTCACTAGCTGGGGGAAAAAGAAACACACCAGCTTTTGTGCAGTGCAGGTTGCCTCACATCACAAACAGAGTTGATAGTACAGACATGCCTGGTATGTTCAGCATTCCATATCAAGGGAAGATGAATTAGCCGCAACAAAAATGTGTTACAGCTTTCATGCAGCAGTTTATGGATTTTTTTTTTGTACCTCTGGAATTTTTTACCTTGAGCGTATCATGGAACTTGTACTGTCTCAGATCTTTTCCTAAGATTATTTTTATCTCGCTGTGAGGAACATCTTTGTGAGCTCTGAACACTTTTACAGCTGCTAGGATGCTAATGGGAACTTCATGTGTGTACCCAGCACAAGTGCTCTCAGGAAAAAAAAAAGCCAATGTCAAAGGAAGGTATGTAGAAGTCACCATAAATATGTCTTTGAATGTTTACCATCTGGAACAGTAGATTACGTTTTGACAAGAAGCTGGACTGCCCCGTGGGCATTGTCTTTTAAACAGCCCCATCATTATGAAGGAAGGAAAAACATGATTTGCTGTTCCTAGTTTCTCAGCAAGATTTTCTGGCAGTACTAGAGAAACTAGTTTGTTTGTTTTTTTTTTTTCCCCTAGTAAAACAATAACAAGTTGGGCATGTGTAATTAGCTATGCACTTTCTTAAAAAAAATATGGTTTCTTGTAGATCATCTGATCTGTGATCCAATGATACCCACAAAGAGGGATAGGTTTCAGCTAGGCAGTGACAGCATCAGGCTCTGCAGCTCTCAGTGCTGCACCTCAGCTTTGCTGGAAGTCTGAACCTCTGTGTGCTGAAGCTGGCTTGTTGCGCTTCTCACAGGACACACTGGGAGAAAGAGGAGAAATCCAATATGCAAGACTTGTACGTGGAGCTATAATGAGGTTTTCCTTTGGTTTTGTTTTTCATTTTAAGCTTGTAAAAGTTTCCATCACTTTTTACAATGAGAAAGTGTAGACTGAGAGAAAAACCAAAATGGTCAAATTTATTCACATAAATCTTGGTCTGGTTGTGCAGTGATTTTTGGGATTTAGCTAATTCTCTGTTTCAAATTGCTGTGGATGACTTATAAGGACACATTCGTACTAAAGAGTGTGCTTGAAAATACAAGCTGAGAACAGCCTGTAAAGAGGCCAAATAGTCTGTTCAAGGAAAAAAAAAGTTAACAAAAAAGTTGGTTTGAGGCAAAAATATATGTGCAACATGAAACATGGGTTTATGGGCATCGTTACACTGTTGAATACCAAAATCACAAAGCACCAGCTATAAATCCCCTTGCTCAACCTACTAAACAGATCTTATTTCAGAACATGTTATATACAGTATTATATATAGAATATCTCACCTGTAACTGGTGAGGACAGTGTTAGATTTCTTTCACAAGTAGGAGGCCAATAATTCATAAGCACCAGAGGTATGTGACAGTTACTGTGAAGAACTGTTAAGGTGCAAAAGAAGCAAATAATATTGTTACTCTGAACAGGAAAACAGCACAAATATACAGCAAATATTAAACTGAACAACTCCAAACAAAATAAAAGGAAAAATAATCCATCCTGTTATTTCTCAATCTAGATAATATAGAATAAAACAATGAAAACATCTTTTCTGATAAGCTAACATACTGTAATTAATGATAACACTTCTGATTTAGTTAATTTGCTGGGCTTCCCACGCTCCAGACATCAATGAACTTAATAGCGGAATTAAATGAAAATGATAGCAGAGTACTTCCATAACTAATTTCTAATTATATTTCTGCCCCTCTTCCTTCCTAAACATAAATTTTTGCCTACTTCTAATTAACACTTCAGATCGCTAGTTTAGAATCTATAAATATACCGAGTCTTTAATGATCCATTATAGTGATGCTACTTAGTTTTCAATGACTTGTAAAACTTTCACAAACAGATCTGCAAATCAATTACATCCATCTGCTCTGCTGCAGCTGCAAGAGCAGCATTACATTGTACCCTGCCTTTCCCTACTTTCCTGATTTTCTCTTAACTTTATGCCCATGTGTAAGCCGAACCATCTCGATGCCGATTGTCAGGAGCCCAGGCAGATCTCTATAAAGGAGCCTTCAAACTTTACAGACACCTCACACGCACTTTCAAAACATTCTGGTTTGCCTCCCAGCTGAGCCCCAGACCGGCTGCTGAAGCATCCTGCTGAAAACCTCGGACATGCTCTGCCGCGGTGCCTTCTCCCGCCCGACCAGGCAGTTTCCAGGGCTCTGCTGGAGCACGGCGGCGTTTGCGCCGCAGCCGCGGCTCCGCGGTGCCCGCACACACGTGTGCGGTGCGCGCCAGCCAGAGCCGTGCCTGCGGGGGGAGCACGGGAGGCTCCCGCAGGGCTGGGATACACCGCTCCCGCGGAGATTTTCCAATCTACACCTCCGAAAGCGTGACCTTAGCGGCGTTAAGAGTGTTAGCTCTATGAAGACGGCCAAGCATCAGGCTGTGCTCGCTGTTATCTGTCAGCCGTACAATAGCAGCATTGATAAGGCAGCAGCAACTGGCTTTGACAAGTGTGCTGTGCTATAATTCCTCTGAAAACCGTGAAGGAAAGAAAAAAAAAAGGGGAGAGAGAGAGAGAGAGAGAGAGAGGGAGAGAGAGGCATGAGTTGCCTTTTACTTTACCTGAACAAAGTGTGCGGTTTTATTTTTCCCTCTGAGCTGCTGGAAACGATTCTTCCAGTTTCTCCCCCAGAGCTAGGTATTTCTTCTTTTGCTTGCAGCTCACACTTGGGGAAGACCACACAGCTCCAGCAAGGCTGCCTCTCTCCCCTAATCCCCACTCGAGTGTGATGACACACACTAACCCCAACCATCTGTTGAAACACGTCCTCAAGCACTCAGCACAGTGGTGTGTCAAGACGGGCTGCCCAATCCAATCGCTGGGGTTGGGTGGCTCTTAAGGAGCTGGAGGCAGAGACAAGGGCAGAAACTATAAGGCTGAGAACTCTTTAGCAAAGTAACCTGAGATTTTGAGAAAGGGCTGCTATTGAAAAAAAGAGCAGAAGGGGGAGGTACTCGCGGGAAGGTAGAGGGAGTGGATTAGTCTGGTGGCCAGTTGTGTAACTTCTCACAACTCCTTGTATTCCCAAGGGACCACTGGGACCCCTTCACAGTGGGATGCACAGAAGCACAGGAGCAACACTAAAATGTTTTTTGTGGCGGGTCTATTGAGGGCAATCTCCTCCGAGAGACGCTTTTGTAAAAGACATAGATGATGCAGTTTGAAATCCTGATCAAATGCTACTGCGGGAGTCGTTTGCACGGCAATGTGACATCTGCATCCCGAAATCCCAACTCCTTACCGTGCCGCGGTTACCCCGCGGCTGCTTCCAGCCTTCCTGGGAGAACGGCGGAGAGAGGCTAGAGGAAAACCGGGGTGGGGAGGAGGGCGAGGGGAAGAGGGTATATCCGAAGAGCAAATATATCTGCGAGTCCTTCACCCGAGCCCGCGCTTCTCGGGACGCGGGCTGGCCGCCCCTGCTCCCCGGTGGCGCAGCGGCGCACGCTGCGAGCCCGCCCGCGGCTGCTGCAGCGCCCGCTCCGCGCCCGCGGAGCTGCCCTGACAGCTCCGGCCCCTCTCCGCGCCCCCTCCGCGCCCCGCGGCCCCGGCTGCCGCCCCCCGGCCGGGAAGCTGCCCCCAGCCTGTTGCTTCCCCCCTTCCCACCCGTTTCCGCCACCGCCCCGCGGTGTCCTGCGGGATGCCGCCGCAAGTTTGGGAGCAGTGCCCTTTCCCCTGGGGACCCCTCACCGCCCCAGTCAGGGCTGGGGGCTCCGGGCAAGCCTGGACTGTGTCTAGTCTGTACCTCAGTTTCCCTCTGCCACAAAGCAAGCATTATCGCACCTTCCTCCCTCTCAGGGTCACTGCCAGGAAAAATCCACTAATTTACAGAAGATGTCCGGGAATGATAGATAAGGGACACAGAAAAGCTGCTAAGTGCCAAAGAAACAGTTCTTTCCTCTCCCCTCCCTGTAATAGGATAGCGTGGAAGAGAGACTTAAAATCTCAAGGGTTTTTACCTCATTACCAAGTGCCTGACTTGACACTTGCATTAAATCTACATTTCACATTATGACAGATGTTGTGTTTTCTTTGAACTGAAAGGGAAGGACCTTGTTTTGGCATTAAAAGTTACTCTGAAAGTGTTAACATCCAACTTGAGGAAAGGTTTGCAGTTGTGAAAAGATGCACTCTACCCAGCTATATGAAAGCCATATGAGAGTCTTGAAATGTTGATTTGGCTTACTCGTTCTTTAATACCTTACACAAGGCTGTTTCTGAAAGACTAGTGGCAAAGTGAATACTTAACAAAATATGAGATTCAAGAGCTGGGGTCTGAGCCCAGAGAGCTGTTAGCAAAGCTGACCTGGAAAATAAAGGAAAAAGAAGAAACCGTAGTCACAACTATATTTGCGTAAATTCTTCCCCAAAGTGATGACACAGTGTCTGTTTCAGCCTATTACTCTGAAAATGCTATCACAGATGTTTGGTATCCATTAAAACACTACTCCCTAATCTGCTAATTCTAGATAAATAAACAGCCGAATAATATTTTCAACAATATTATGTGGTGAAGTAAAGATGCAACTACTGTCCCTGAGGTATTGTAAGATTCTTAATGTTGCCAATAATATCTTCAGGGCAAGGGTTTGGTTTGATTTTGTTTCGTTCTAGCAGACTGTGATCTGTAAACAGGCTGGATAACCTTACATACTCAAAAAGCCCTGGAGACTTTATTGCGCTTATTTGCATTTTCTTTAGCTGTACTTCTTAACAGTATTGTACAGTAACTGCATTAAAAATCTATAGTGATTAAAGATGTGCAGTATCAAAAAGCCCCTCAAATTGTGCTGGATCATCCTGTGTAATGACTCATTTTCTAAAATGCAGCTCACCTCACAGATGCTCAATGTTTTATTGGTCAGATGAGAGGCAAATTCAGCAGGGTTCAACCTCTAACCACCATGAATGACAGTTATGTGCATACAATTATTTTATGTTGTGATGTGGTATATGCTTATCCAGTGTTGCTTATTATATCTGAGTATAAACATACATAAGCAAGTTACTGAGCATTTGTGTGATGCACAGGCCGAGATCTGTTGGTTTTTTATGCCTGTGCAAGTCAGGGATGCCTCTGCTAATGCCTGTCAAGTCTCAGTACTGTAAAACTGACATGTTTAAAAGGTCCCTAATTTAGTCTTTTGTATACACAGACACATACCCCCCCACATTTCTCTTCATAGACTCTGCCATGACTTGAAATACAGATTTCTGTCTCTGTTACCAATGTTGGTAATAGCTCTCAAACATCACGCATGATCATGTTTTCACTTGAAAGCTACTGCTGATGTTGCGGGATAATTTAACTGCTACTTGTGTGACTACAGCCAGATTAGTTTGCTGTGACAGCTTATAACTGACTTTTTTACCACTTCTCCTCTATGCACACTGCCATCTGCAAAGAGTTGAGGTTTTAAAGGCTGAAATGAAAGCTGCACTGAAGAGCCATACCCGAAATGCTGTTGAAATTATGCATCATAAAACAGGTTCTCAAGTTGACTGTCAAACCCTTGAACTCTTGCTAAGGTCAGGCTGCCCCCACTCACATAAGACTTGGAGCAAAGTGAATAATGCTTTATGCAAATAACTGAAGACAATCCTAATATGCAAGATTAATTGCAGGTAATTGTGATATTGAGAAATAGTCACTCCTGTTTTGTTCCCACAGATAACAAACAGATAACATGTCCCTCACACAGTAGTTCCAATTTGTTTCCATGGTAGCCAACAGCATCTTTAAGCCAGGGCACTGAGATTCATTCTGTGTTGCCTAGACTTTAACTCACCACCTTTCCTCCAGCACAGATGGCCTTGGAAGTTTTGTGTGCTAGTGTGGGACATATGCACATAATCACACACGTGCACCTCTGCACAAGAACCTCATGTAATTCTCAACTCTGGCATTTTCAGCTCTCAAAAATAATCAAAGGGGATTTTTCGTGATTCCTGCAGCAACCTCAGTCTATCTCTCCTGCCAGTATGAATGGAAGATGACTTTTTATTTCCTTGAATCATTTTATGTCTACCCTGGATTCAATTATTTTTGAAGAGTTCATACAGGAACAGAAGAGGTTCTAGAACATGACTATAAATCTACAGACAAGTCTACTGTTAAATTCTAGCTTGAAATGCATGCTCATGCATGAATAGCATGCTCATGCTCCCGTTGAGTTTCAATGACGTCTCGTCAAAAATGACATATAATAAAAAAGCCTTTGAAATCCGGAATTGCAAAGAAAAGATAAATAATTAAAAACCAATGTTTCTTTCTAAAGATCCCAGCAAACAGCAGGTTCCAAGGAGCACAGGAAGATATGCTTCTTCATGTGGATCACAGTGAAACCTTGGAGTTACTTGCTGCAGGATGCAGTGGGGATAAAATGACATATTCAAGGGTTTGGATAAGTTCATGGAAAAAAAAAATTACTCACAGCAATTAAATACAAATATATAGCTTCTGGTACAGGGAATCCCTGAATCACCTGGAGCGGATCCTGGACAAATATTCTGTGCTTGTCCTATTCTTACACTTTACCCCAAGCAGCCTCTATTTTCCACTACTGGAGGGTGCCAAGCCATGACTTAGTGTGGCTCAGCTGCTCTTTCTTTCTTAAAGAATTTGGCAGTTTTGGGGCCTCATGGTGGGTAGTATAAGGGAGATGAATTCCTTTTAAGAACTTCAGCCAAGATTTTTAGAGGTTGGCTCATAAGCCCATGTTCAGGAGCCTTAGTAAAAAAGGTCTGATCAAAAGTATTGAGTATACAGCAGCTGCTAGTGAAGCCAGCATTTCATTTTCTTTTTCTCCATATGTGGGCATTCCAAAGTCACACATAGGCTCATGTAAAATTTGTGAGCTAAATCCCAAACTATATTCTGTGCAAAAGTCTGCTCAACTGTTTCTTAACCTGGAGTCACCTGAATTTCAGAAACACATGGTCTTTTACAAGCATTTCCTCCATGCTGAAAGCCAGAGCTGTGCAAGACTCAGGAGTCAGGCACCCCTTCATTACAGTCATCTAAATTGCTTCAGTGGGCTCTCAGAACTCATCTACCAAACTTGGAGACGTTTGAGCGGCATAAAGATCAAAAACCTGGCCAGAGGAAGAAGAAATAAATAACTTTTAGGGCATGCAACCATATACCTGCTGGGTAGCTTTCTTCTCACTGTCCCTGCTCAAGCCTGTTCACCTGAACAAAATATTCCAGCAATGATTATTCTGTGTAAAAACACAATAGGGTTAATATACAAAAAATATTGAGAAATTTGGTGAGTCACGTACAGCACACAAGAAAATGCAGAATTCTGCATCCCAGAACAATTTCCATATTTTCTGAGGAAATGTGCATAGGCCTATACACGTACTCTCTTAGTGGGAAACCATTCATGTGCTAGCTACAAAAGAACTGCTTTAGAAATGCATTAAGGGCACAGTTCCAGAATCAGGATTACCTGCCTGTGCATAGCTCTTGTGGGATGGAAGGATACAGGCTTCAATTTTTAAGGAAGTTCTACCCTGCTCCATCTTCCCTGCAATGGAATCAGATGGTACGGAAGTTATACCCAGCTACAATCTGTCTTAGGACTGCAATACTAAAAACAGTTCCCCTGAGGGGTAACCAGAACAGAGGATAGAGTGCAGGTGAGACAGACAAAAGATCATAATTGACTCAATTCATCACAGGGCTTTACAATTTGTCAGATTGTTGTCATCACTATCACTTGCCTCCAGAAGAAGATTAATAGTTGAAATAATTGTCAGTCTCAAATTTGTGTTTCTTCACTTACACCCACTCTCAAAACACTGATTCTTTTTGGTTACTGTTTCTTCTAAGGTAACTCCCTCATTAGTGGTTGCATAGTAATTCACTACCAAACAAGGTCACT